TTTCAAGGTCCTTATAGTAAGAGAACTCTGATTCTTTTTCATTTATTCAATAAACAGTCCATATAGCACACAACGTTACAGTTATTTTTTATTCTGATAATAAAATTAAGACATCAATTTGTTTAAAAATTCTAGGATCAAATATACACAAAATAAAAGCCCATTTTCTTCTAATATTCCCTAAGTGGACTTCCTGATAATTTTCTACATTTGTTTCCCAACTTAGCTATACAGAACAATCACCTACACTGAGTTTTGTGGTACGTCATACCTGAAATTCCAGTACTCTGGGAATCTGAGACAGGAGGATTGCAAGTCTAAGCCCAGACTGGGAAATTTAGCAATTTAGCAGCAACTAGTCTCAAATTTAAAAAGGGATAGGGGATGTACCTCAGTGTGAATGTACCTTAGTGTTCAATTCTCAATACTGGGGGAAAAAAAAAAGGCAGTCACCTATGATTCTAAGTAGGGGCTTCTTCTATATTCATATTTTTAAGTAGCTCGAAAGTGAAAATATAGAACTACTGATCTTGTAGAAGAGACAGACATTGCATAAATTATCCATTGCTTTCTAGTGAATTACTTAAAAAATTAGCTGTGCGGCTTACTGGTGCTTATATGTAATCCCAGCTACTTGGGAGGCTGATTTAGGATGACTGCAAGCTCACAAGTTTGTAGCCAGCCTAAGCAATTTACTGCAACTCTGTCTCAAATAAAATAAAAAAGGCTGAGGATGAAGCTGAGTGGTGGAGCATTTGCCTCTCCTGTCTGAGGCTCTGGGTCCAATTCCCAGTACTGAAAAGAAAAAAATGTATCAGAATAATTTATTATTGCCAAGTTTCTATGCATCAGAAATCCAGGTGCAGAGCCAAGTGTGGTGGTGCACACCTGTAATCGCAGAACTTAGGAAGCTGAGACAGGAGGATTGCTGGGAGTTTGAAGCCAGGCTGGGAAACATGGTGAGTGCAAGGCCAGCTTGAGCTAATAGGGCCTCTCATTAGGCTACAGTCAAGGATCCACCAGGAGAGGATGCTTTTCAGAGCTCATAACACAACGTTTTTAGCAGGATTTTGTTAACAAGGACTGACTGATGAAAGTTCATGCTGGCCTTTGGCAAGGAGCCTCCTTCAGTTTCTTGCCATGTGGACTTTTTCTTAGAGAAACTCTTAGTATAGCACGGCTATAGGGGGAAATAGATGTAACTCCCAAACCTGCTAGACATCCAAAACTTGAGTTCCTGTTCTCTAAAATCAGAGAATGAATTCTAGGAACAATAGAGGTTAAGAATAGAAAAAATTTATTGAAAGATAGCTTGTAAGAGAGACAGAAGGGGGACTGCAAAGTGGGTTGCCTGCCCACCCTGCTTCTTGAAAGGATTTCATGGGACAAAGCCACAAGGTGAAATGCCTAGGTCTTTTTTTTTTTTTTTTTTCGAACTTAGGTCCTTGCGTTTGCAGGGCAGGCAGAAGAACCACTGAGCTATATCCCCAACCCCTTGTGCCTAGATCTTGGGGTCTAAATACCATTCCGTTACTCTTTGGAGAAATGACTGATGCAAGGACTAGAACAGTAAATATATAAGATGAGCCAGGAGCATCTTGAAGTTCTAGAAAGGAGATTAAAAAAACAACAGAAAAGAGACACATAAGTCAATATAAGAGCTCCAGTAGCCAGTGGTGGAACAATTTGAACAATAAAATAAAAATCATGGTATAAACTAAAACAATGTATGAAATAAATATACAAGAGTATGTATAAATGATCGAATATAAATTATGGAGAAAAGAGACACTTTTTCCTTTGAGAAGAATTTCAATTAATGTATGCAGTACTTCTATTCAGGACTTAAAGCTTAATATTATACTTTCTTAGTGGGCAGGATTTAGTAATTTTGTTCTCCAAGAAGAGATTTGGATAGGAAGAAAAATGTAATTTTTCAGTGGAGAAACTAGCAAACACGACCATGGTTAAATGATCAAGATTAAATCACTACTAATAAGTTATGCTGATATCAAAAGAAGGGCATTTCATTGCATACTCTCCTTAAACTCTAGAGCCACAGTTTAATTATGAGAAAAACGTCAGACAAATTCAAGTCATGGGACATTTTATCAAATACCTAAACAGATGGACTCAGACTATCATGGTTACATCAAGGTTATGAAAAATAAGAAAAGACTGAAAACCTGTCACAGATCAGAGACTAATGAGATATGATGACTAAATGCAACATGGCATCTTGGATTGGGTCCTGGAAGAGAAAACAGGAGGCAGTAAAAACTGAACAAAGTCTGGAGTATCATGAATGGTAAAGCACCAATGCTGGTTGCTTGGTTTTATAGATATATCATAGTAATGTAAGATGTTAACATTTGGAGAAACTGGGTAAGGGATATAAAAGACTTTTCTGTGCTCTCTTGTAACTATTCTGTAAATCTAAAATTATTCTAAAGTAAATTTTATTAAAGACAAAAAGCAAACCATCTTGCCATAATTTTTTTTTGTTTTTTGAGACAGTCTCACTGTGTAGTTTTGGGTGGCCTTGAACTCACTATGTATCGCAAGCTGTCCTTGAACTTTCAGCAAACCTCCTGCCTCGGCCTCCCAAGTGCTGGGGTTGCTACAGCATGTAACAACCAATGCCTTACCACCCCGCCTGGCTCTTTCTACAGTTTTAAAAGTATAGTGGCTGGATTGTTTCTCCTTGGATTGGCTTCAGGCTCAGCACCTTTCAAGCCCTCTTTGTTCTCCACTAGCCACATAATGCTCCTGTCAGGTGCCATAAGACATATTAATAGGTCCTTTGTGTCACGCACTTAGCATAGTGCTTGGCTGGGAGAATTCCTGGAGGTCATTCATTCCACCATCTGGAGAGTCAGCAATAACCTATCACAAAACAGCCTGAATTCAATTTTTTTTCTTACCTAGATCTCAAAAATATCCAGGGCCACTCCAGGGAATCTAGGACAAAGTGAAGTGTGGGAAAAAAAAAAAAAAGACATCTTAATCTTCTTCTCAGGAGTGTTTTTAGAGATTTTCCTGTTAAAAAGTAGAATAAGGCTGGGAGTGGTGGCTCACGCCTGTAATCTCAGCACTTGGGAGGCTGAGGCAGGAGGATCGCTGTGAGTTTGAGACCAGTCTGAGGTACATAGTGAGTTCCAGGTCAGTCTCAACTACATAGTGAGACCCTGTCTCAAAAAACAAAAACAAACAAACAAAAACAACAACAACAACAAGTAGAATATGTTGGGGATTTGGCTCCTTGGTTCCATTGCCTGTGTCGCAAGTGCAAGGGCCGGAGTTAGATCCTCGATACAAAAAAGAAAAAAAAAAAGTAGAATATGACATCTGACCACATGAACTCGGGCTTGAGTTCTCCCTTGGGCCTTGGAAAGGGCTGGTACAAGTTTAGGGTCCTGAAGCACAAGTATAAGTTTAGCAGTCAACCCAGAAGAACAAATAAGTGACCTTTGCCAGAAATCCCAATGTCTATTGTCTGCAGTCCTTCAACTTGGAAACTCTTGCTCTTTGAGCGAAGTGTTCCCTGAGCCACTGTGCAGGCTTAGGCATATCTCCCAGGCCCATTCCTAATTCTATTATAACATCTGATCACATAGGTTAAGTTTGGGTTTCCATCTTCCTCTTACCCTGTAGGTTCACTCAGGAGGTGATTCAAAAAAAATTTTTTTTTTTAACCTTTGTGCTGTCATAGTAAGCCCTCAAAGAGCACTTGTTAAGTAAATGAATTAAGGCTCTTGCTGAAGGAAGGGAACCTTGGCCAGAAGAGCCTGGCCAGCTAGGTTAAGAATATCAAGCCCTAGGTGCCTCTGTGCTCAGCAACCTCTGGGATCAACTGACATGGGAGGTAAGAGAGACTGTCACTCAGCAATAACTTCCTGAAAAGACCAAAAGAATATTGAGGCAAGTATGGAGGAACATGTTTGTAATTCCAGCTTCTCCGGAGGTGGGAGACTGGAGAGTTGTCAGCCTGGGCAATATAGCTACAGTAGTCTCCAAAAACAAACAGAAAAAGAAATACTAATGAATCTTGCCTCCTACATATTTCATCACATCTACACATATTATCATACTAAATATGGTTAACTATAAATGAAATGCTTACATTTTCTTAACAAGATTATTTGAAATCTAGACTATCCAAGAGTATTCAGGTATTTAAAAAAGTACGTGCTCCAATGAAGCAGACTAAACGAATAGAGACAGGAAAGTAAAGTTTAGTTTAAAAATAGAAACCTTTATTTAGAAGGATATACAAACAAGTCAGTAAAACTGTCATGACTCACCACCCCATCTCATGAGCATACCATGTGGTTTAAATTCTTTGCAGTATAAAGAATGGTTTAAACTTTTAAAAAATAATGTAAACACGATCGAAACCAAATTTGTTCTTCATACTGTCAATTTTTGAGATTTTACATATTGCTCTCAGAATGACAATTCCATCTTCTTCAAAATTCCATATACTGGAAAGAGAGAAAGGAGGGAAGAATAAGGAAATATCCTGCTTGTTTGTTTTGGAGTTGAAAACAACTCGTATGGAGCATAGTCTTCACCCACTCTGAGCAACATCACACTCCAACACCTAAACCGAAGCAGATCCCGGATGTGAAGTCCATATATGGAGAATGTCTGCATGGAAAACACAAGTCTTCACAGCTTGAGACGAAAAGTGCTCAACATATCTTCCCTCAGTGTTAATACACACACTTGGCTACACTAAGATTGTGGGTCTTCTCACACCTGGAGCGTAAAGTTTACATACAAAAGTGAGTCCCTGGGCGGAGTAATGATGATAAACTCAAGTATACACGAAAACACACGCCTCTTCAGGGGACACAAGCATGCGCACAAGGACAGCGAACGGCGGCTTTGGGCGCTCACGACCGTCTCCATGCCTTCCGCCGGCGGCTTCCACTGAGCCCGCCTCTGAGCCGAAGCAGACAGCTAATTGGTCAGTCTGGTCTCGGCCCGGGGCGGGGATTGGCGGATTGGCAGTATGGTCTCAGGACAGCCAATCTGGAAACCGGAGTAGCCGAAGACGGTTCAGGCTGCGGCGCGTCCGTGGTAAGTGGGGCTGTTGATTGGAAATAGTGGGTGGAAAAAAAGTGGCCCAGAGCTTGACTGTGGCGAAACGTCATGGTAGCAGGGCAGAAAGAGCCTGGTTGGGAACGAGGGAAGGACGGCGGGCTTCGTGGGCCAGCGGGGCGTCTGCGCTGCGGTAGAAGGGAACCCGGTGGCCGAGGGCCCTAAAGGCCCGGCGCTTTGGCGGAGCAGTGGGAAGTCGAGTGCCTTGCCTCCGGGCTGGGACTCGCTCACATATTCACCCTCTCAGCCACCTGCCCCTGTACCCCACTCGTATCCCCTTCCCCGCCCTCCCGACTGTGTTGGGAGCCCTAGTTCCCGCGCCGGGGTGTTGAGCCCTTTCCCGTCCCGCGGGTTGGCTCTCCCAGGTCGGCTTTCACTGGCCGGTGTTGCATTGTCACTGTTCATTCTCCCAGAATTTCCTGTGTGTCTCTCTGACCGTGCCCAGTTGGCGTCAGGCCCCAGAGAAAAGGCCAGCCTTTGGGCGTTTAGAAATTTTTTTGTAATGGAAACCTTTCTATTATTAGAGAAGTTGAGTGAATGATATATAGAGAACTCAGTGTATTGAGCACACCCGGTTTCAGTGATTAGCAATTCATGGCCAGTCTTGCTTCCCTTCTCTTTTTGAAGTAAACCCCAGACATATTTCATCTCATATGTTTCTACGCTTCTGTCATGATCAGTAAGCATACTTTTTCGTGACCATTTACATTTTCAAAGAGAGGTTGAATGACAAGGCACACAGTGTAAATATTGCTAATTTAGTTTATATTACAAGGATGTACACAGGTTTTACTACCCTGTGCTCAAATTTTCAAAAATCAAGGAAATGGTACTGGCGTGGTGTGGTGACACGTACCTGTAATTCCAGCACTCGAGAATTACGGCAGGCAGGAGGATCACCACGAGTTCCAGGCCAGTCTGGACTACATTGCAAGACCCCAACTCAAAAAACAACAACGAAAATTGTGTTTTGTTTTTGAGCATTAATAATTGTATTGGTACTTCTATTTCTGAGGTTCTTAGTACACATGAAACACTGCAAAATTGTTTCCTCCTTTTCATTTGTTATTACATTTTTTTTAGGAACCAAAAAAAAAAAAAAAAAAGCATGATGGCACATGCCTGTAATACTAGCATTCTAGAAGGCTGAGACAGGAGGATTACAAGTTCCAGCCCAGCCTTTCCAATTTAGTGATTTAATAAGACTGTCTCAAAATTTCAAAAAAGGGTTTTGTTTTTGTTTTTGTTTTTTTAAATAAAGAGGTCTAGTGCTGGGTGTGGTGGTGCATGCCTGTGATCCCAGTTTGGGAGGCTGAGGTAGGAGGATCTCTTAGTTGGAGGCCAGCCTGGGCTACATAGTGAGTGCTGGGACCACAGGCATTGGCCACTAAGCCAAGCCCAACTTTATGTAGTTTTTGTTTTGTTTTGTTTTGTTTTTGTTTTTTGAGACAGGGTCTCACTATGTAGTTGAGACTGACCTGGAACTCACTGTGTAGTTTAGGCTGGTCTCGAACTCACAGTGGTCCTTCTGCTTCAGCCTCCCAAGTGCTGGGATTACAGGCATGTGCCACCACACCTGGCTTTATGTAGTTCTGATGGGCTATTTAAACATGACCCTTTGGCTCATGCTCATTCTTCTAGGGAGTACAGATGAGAGAAAGTGGGCATGGTGGTGCAGCCTGTGGTCTTCACGTGCTGGGAGGCTGGGGCTGGAGGATGGAAAGGTGGAGCCCATACTGGACCGTTTAGCAACTTACTGAGCCCCTGTCTCAAAAAATAAAAAAGGGTAGTTACATTGCTCAGTTCAAAGCCCTCAGGGTCAATCTCTAGTATCCCTCACTACCCCCCCCCACAAGAAAAAGTGACAGAGAAGAAAAATAAACATTATTTTCCCCTAGATTAGGTTTAGATAAATAGTATGTTAAATACATTTTGGGAAATTCTGAGGTAAGATGCTGGGGAGAGGAGTGCAGCTGGGTGTGGTGGTACATGCCTGTCATCCCAGCACTCAAGAGGCTGAGGCTGGAGGGTCCCTGCAAGTTTGAAGCCAGTTTAGGCTACATAATAAATTCAAGGCCATACTGAGCTACACCACCATCACTTTATAAAATTATTTTGGGACAATATTTTTCAAAGTCACTAAATTGCCTAAGCTGTCCTTGAATTTATGATCCTCTTGCCTCAGAGTGCTAGGACTACAGATACCCAGCACCCAGCAGGGAGTTACTGTTACACTTGTATAAAGCCAACTGGGTGTAGTGTTGTATACCTGTAACTCCTAGCACTTGGGAAGCTGAGGTGGGAGGGTTGCCTGGAGTTGGAGGCCAGCGTGGGCCACCTTGTAAGGTGATACCAGTCTAGTTTCAATCTTTGGCATATGGAAAGCCAGTTTTTCCAGCACCATTTATTAAAGAGGCTGCTTTCTTCCAGTGAAGGTGTTTGGCTCCTTTGTCAAAGATTTTGTGGCAGTATTTCTGGAATTGTTTCTGCATCTTCTAGTCTATCTGTTTCAATGCTCCTCAGGTCTGTTCTTTTGCCAGTACCATGCTGTTTTTACCACAGTAGCTTTGTGGTATAATTTCATGTCAGGAATTGTAATGCCCCTGCCTTACCTTTGTTGCCCAGAATTGTCTTTCCTATTGTAGGTCTCTCCAGGTTCCAAATGAATTTTACGTTGTTTTTTTCTAATTCTATAAGATAATGCTATTGGAATTTTGATTGAGATTGCATTAAATCTGTATAACAATTTTGGAAATATGGCCGTATTCACTATATTGGTTCTTCCTACCCAGGAACAGATGTCTTTGTATTTTCTTATATCCTCTTCAGTCTCTTTTTTTCAGTGTTGTGGTTCTCAATGTAGAGGTCTTTCGCTTCCTTTGTTAGGTCACTTCCTAGATATTTCATTTTTTTTTGGATACTATTGTTAAAGGGATTGTTACCCTAAATTCACTGTCAGTGAATCTGTTACTTGTGTACAAGAAGGCTATTTATTTTTGAGTGTTTATTTGTATCTAGCTATACTACTGAATTTGGTTATTAATTCTGAAAGTCTTTTGGTGGAGCTTTTGGGGTCTTCTATGTAGAACATCATGTCATCTGCAAATAATGATAATTTAACTTCCTTTCCTGTCCTTATTCCTCTTATTTTTTTGTCTTGTATAATTCTTCTGGCTAATGATTCCAGAACTATATTGAACAACAGTGGTGACAGTGGATACCCTTGTCTTGTTCCTGATTTTAGAGTGAAAACTTCCAGTTTTCTCCACTTAGTATGATGTTAGTTTTTGCTTTGTTATAGATGGCTTTTGTCAGACTGACATAAAGACCATTTGTATTAATTTTTGGTAGAGTTTTTCTTTTAATCATGAATGATTGTGACCTTGTCAAATACTTTCCTGCATCCATTTCGAGAATCATATGGTTTTTATCCTTGGTTCTGTTAATGTAGTGTATTACATTTGTTGATTTGGGTGTGTTGAACCATCCTTGCATCCTTGAGATAAATCCAACTTGGTCATGGTATATAACTTCCTTCATGATTTGCTGCATTCTTTTTGCCAGTATCTTATTGAGGATTTTTGTGTCTGTTTTTATTAGGGAGATTGTCCTGTAGTTCTCTTTTTTTGGTTGGATCCTTCTCTGGTTTTGGTGTCAGGGTAATGGTTGCTCCCTGGAATGAATTTGAGAATATTGCCTCCCTTTGAACTTTAGAGAGTTTGAGGAGTGCTGGCATTAGATCTTCTCTAAATTTCTTGTAGAATTCAGCAGTGAATCCATCAAGGCTTGGGCTTTTCTTTGTTGGTAGATTTTTAATTACATCTTTAATATCATTGGCTGGTAGTTGTTTATTTAGAATTTTTGTATCTTGGTTCAGTTTTGGTAATTCATATGGATCTAGGAATCTCCATTTCTTTTGTGTTTTCCATCTTAATAGAATACAGGTTCTTGAAGTAGGTATTGATGATTTTCTGGATATATGCAGGGTCTGTTTCAATTTCACCCTTTTGGTTTCTAATTGAATGGATTTAAGTCTTTTTTCCCCCCTTTTTTTGATAAGGCTAGATGTTTGTCACTTTTATTTAATCTTTCAAAGAGCCAACTCTTCAATTCATTGACTTTTTTGTCTTGTTTTTTAAATCTCCATTACATTAATTTCTGCTCTGATTTTTATAATTTCCTCCCTTGTATAAGCTTTAGGCTTGACTTGCTCTTCTTTTTTAGAATCTTGAGGTTCAACATTAGGTTGAACATAATTTATTTGAGTCCTCTCTGTTTTCCTGATATGAGTATTTACCACTATACTTTTCCCCTGTTGACTGCTTTCTCTGTATCCCATAAGTTCCAATATGTTGTATTGTCATTATCATTTAATTATAGAAATTGTCTGATTTCTTCTTTAATTTCATCTGTGACCCATTGGTTGTTTTGAAGGGTGTTATTAATTTCCATGTGTATATGAAGTTATTGTGGTTTCTTTTGCCATTGATTTCCAATTTCATTGAATTATGGTCTAAAAACATGCATGGGATAATTTCAGTTCCTTTGGATTTACTTAAGCATATTTTATGAGCTAGTATGTGGTCTATTTTTGAGACCATCCTATGCAGCTAAGAAGAATGTGTATTCTGATGTTGTGGGGTGGAACACTGTGAATGTCTGCTAGATCCATTTGTTTAAAAGTTTGGTTTAGTTCTGATATTTCATTGTTGAATGTTTTGTCTAGTTGATCTGTCTGTTCATGACTGGGATATTGAGGTCTCCCATTCCAACTGTATTAGTGCTTATATGATTTTTCATGTCTATTCATATTTGTTGGGTGCACTGTTATTTGATGCATATATATTTGATTGGTATCTCTCTTGGATTGTTCTTTTTACAAGTATATAGTGACCTTCTTTTCTTCTCTTAATCAATCTTGTCTTGAAATCCACTTTTGTCTGCAAATAGAAGAGCTATCCCTGCTTTTTTTCTGGGTT